GCATTATCTTGTTCATTTGGACATTGCACACAAAATTAAGCCTTAATTGGAAAAAGGTACATTTCCATTTTGGAAAAGGTATGTTTTATGTCAAAACATGATCTTTGAAGCATAGGGTCATATCTCTGAAGCCAAATCAAATCCACAAATTGCAAGTATCAAGAGGATTGTATGCAGCATAATATAGGGCTGATACAGGCCTGTATTCACAGGTGACACATTCTTGCTTCACAAAGAAGAAAACTTGCAAAATCCTCCCAACTTGAGAACCAGCCATTTTTAGCTAAAACAAACATCACAAACAACTTTCACACAACCCTTTGAGCAAGAAACACGAGTGCTAGAGTCTCATAACCTCCCATAGCCAGAAATCACTCTTCTTTGGCAAAACAGGGCAGGTGCTGCAACTTGAGTGCTCCAGCTCATTTGGCTCGTGCGTTTTGACCCTTTTTGCTTCAAACACATTCCATTCAACTCACTCAAGTTGTCCCAAACCTCCATTTCCAACTGTAACTCCATTTACAATGTTCACTATTTTCGTTTCAAGCTTATGCAGGTTGAGTTCTAGGAGCTGATTCAGGGACATTCAAGGCAAGCTAGCTATTGGAAAAGATCAAGTGAAGTTCACGCAAGCTACCAGATACCTCAAAACTTGTTGAGAAGCTTTGCATTGTCCTACTCGAATCCAACTGAAACAGGTTTTTCATCACTTTCTATCTCTCTATTTAGGAACATTTAGCCTTAGGTTTGTGAATGAAAAATGTAGTATTCAATGTCATGAAGTTGTACATATGCTCAATTTTCATTTATATTAAGTGTGCTAGGAGAATTTCATCCATGAACATGCTGAAAAAGTTAGGTCATATTTTAGGGGCAGAGAAATTCTCTCTGGTCTTTGAGAGTTAAGATTAATGCTTTATATGGTTAGATTCGTATTTAAATTCTCTACAAGTTTGATGTTGTGAGTTTTGGCAAAAGATCACATTTCCAGGATGTTTCAGTTTGTATAACAGGCGCGCATTTTTTGTCTGGAGGAAGAAGATGAAGTTGGCTTGGGTTAGGCCTGGCTAGTTTTGCTTCTAACACCCCTTTTCAAGTTTCACACCCCCTGGCCCAATTTCTCATATTTTTGAATTTTTGAATTTTTGTTTTCATTTCTGATTTTCTTTATTTATTTTTAATAATAAAAAATGCTTAAAAATATTTTCATAAATTTTTTACATTTTATTTGACTTTTATAACATAAAAACATTTAGAATACTTTTGTAATTTATTTTAACTTGAAAAAATAATGTAAATAATACTTTTATTTTCATTTCTTATTTTTGTTCATACTGAAAATAGTATTAATAAATATAATTTATTTTTGTACATATTTTATTTTATTTTATACATATTTAATATATTTAATATATATATATATATATATATATATATATATATATATATATATATATATATATATATATATATATATATATATATATATATATATATATATATATATATATATATATATATATATATATATATATATATATATATATATATATATATATATATATATATATATATATATATATATATATATATATATATATATATATATATATATATATATACTTTTATTTTATCAAATACTTAGAATAAAATATGAAAATATTATATTTTTATTATTATTATTATTTATACAAAAAAATACTTTTTTTAAATATATTTCATTTTTTTGCACATATTAATATTTTTTTTGTATATAAATAATATATAATATTTATTTTAAAAATAAATTAGGGTTTTACCCTAAAACAAATAAAATTAATTTTTCTTTATTTATTTCTCCATACTTTTTACATTGAAAATACTTTACATACATAAACAAATAAAAACCTCTTTTTGCATAATACATTTTATTTAATATTTATTTATTTTATGTATTTAAATATTGTACATTTAAATATTGATGCATTTGAGATTCAATTTGGATGTAATATTGATCTAGGGTTTATATCTCCTGTCAAATACCCCCATTCAAAATTGTACCCCCATCTCCATAATCATGTTGTAATAGCTTAGAACTTTAAATTCTCGCATTTTTACGCTTTCAATTATGCCATGATTAGAGAATTAGGGTTTGTATGCAAAAATCCAAATTAACAAATAGTTTGACCTAATCAAAGACAAAAATGCATGAAAATCAAACACAATGCACACTTGCACCCCTAGGGTTATAATCCACTTGTTGCCTTCAAAAATGGGTCATGGTATGCATGTTGGATACTTTGGCAAAACAAAAACAAAACAAAAGATCATAGTCCCTCGATGACGCTATCTTGGTTGCCTAAACAAAAATGATCAAGTCCCTCAAGAAAATTGCCAAAGATACCTAACACAATTGCTATCACGGTCTATACGATGACCCGCGCCTGTCCCGATTAACATCCTAACACAAGGTTGTTCACCAAATGCAATGGTGAAACAACACTGTTAAAAGGGTCAAAAACATAAGAAAGATCTTTGAGTAAAATAGGGTAGATAACTCTTAGTTACTTGATCAAAAGCTTGCAAAAACATCCTTGCTATTTTCAAACACACTTCGCAACACAATTTCAAAATACAACTTTCAAACATTGAAAAGGACAAAAACACCTTTGTATACATTCAAACAAGAATCATTACAAAAGTTGCCACAACGATGGCCTCTTCTTAAAACATCTTTCAAAACCACACACAAAGCACCATTTTAAACAATTGAAGAACACCATTTCAAACAATTGAAAAGCAAAGCAAGTGATCTAAACAAGTAACTAAGAGCCCATGGATAACCATGGATGAAAAGGGTGCTTGCACCTTCCCTTTTCATAATCTACTCCCCGAACCCAAGAAAACATCTCAAAGGTCTTTCCTGTGCTTTTTTATCTTTCCTTAGGATAAAATAAAAAGTCGGTGGCGACTCTTGCTAAACCGAAACATTTGCGAACACAAACGCAAAACCTCAAGTCAATTCTCCCACCGTATCACACTATCAATCAAAAAAATGTTGTTTAGGTTTATTTGAAACCGGGATGTCATATGCCAAACACATCACCAGAATAGATGACACAATTTACATAAGATGCTGAAACTTGGCCGAATCATTTCCTGAAAAGAATGAAAGAGTTCACCAAGTTGAACGACGTTGAAAGAGAAACAAATATGAAAAGATCGGAGAAGGGACAACCAATTGATTTAGATAGTGACACATGTTTTGATATATTTTTGTTTTAACCTAACAATGTAACTCGTTTTTTGTATGTAATGTTGTCTATAGTATTATAAAATTAGGTGATAATTTTTGGACAATTTTAGTGTTTTTAAATTTCGTACTACATAACACACTGGTTCTGTATGAACAATGATTTGGATGAGTGTGAAGATACATTTTCAGACACACCTTTCAATTATTAAAAAAACCAAATAGGAGACCATGTGGATGTACATCTTCGTAAAGATCCTTATTTTTGAAAAAATAGGACGTATCCGGAGATGGATCTCCGAAATAAGTCCTGATGATATGATAGGTTTTGTAAGGTCCTTATTTATCTACAACTTCTATAAATAGGGTCTCTCATTCTATTTTCTTTACAAAAATCAGAATGAATACACATCCTCATCTTACATTTGTGTATTTCAATGGTGCAAATTCCCTACTTCAATTTAGGGTTCGGAGGACATACTTCTCGACTTCTCGTTGATCTGAAATCCAAACTGAATACTCTCATGTGATATCTAAAAAATTATAGGGTTGTTAAGCTCGAGTACCGTTCACCCTCGATTGATAATGAAGGAAAAATACAGTTCACCATGCTTGAACTGAAGATAAATGATGATTCAAATGTTATTTATACAGAGTGCCTTTTACCGTTACTTAACGAAGAGTCTGATTGAATTGAATGCGACGATTGCAAGATCTACAGAAGATATTATAAAGACGTTGCAACGTCCTGAACCACCTGTTTGTAATGATATGTCATGTTAAATTTATGTTAACGTTAACAATTATCTATATAATATTAATGTTTATTTTGATGTTAATTTATGTTATTTTTCCATTGTTTCTAATTGTTTATGGTTTGAACTAACCGAAGAATGTATGCATTCTTACATATATTTTTAAAATATCCGATAAAAATGCATGAAAATCTGAATTTTTACCAAACATTTCTAAAAAATCGATAAAAATGCATGTATTTTTCCAAAAATATTTGATAAAAACATAAAAATCATAAAATAAAAAAAAATTAGATTCTCACTATTGATAAATTTGATAGTTTGAATGAAAAATTCGGTATTCACAAAAAACTTTTTAGAATATTCAAAATGTTACAATAAAATAGTGAAATAGTATATTTCACAAGATTAATATAGTAATTGAATAACATATGGGGGGTACCAGATTAAATTTGAGAGATGATATAATAAATTCTCCCCCCAAAAGGAGTTGAAATCACATTAAAGTCTACTAGTCTCATTTTCTCTCACACTCTGCAAAAGAAGAGCTTCAAGGTAGTGGTGAAAGCAAAATCTATGGCAATCATGAAAATTGTATATGATGCCAATAGGTCAGCTACAAAGAATACATCTAGATATAATCCGAAAATATATTTTCAGATTTTTTTTTTATGATGTGTGATTCAAAATGTGGGAAGAGCAACCCAATAAAAGAATGGGAAGTGGGAAGACAAAAGAAATGAGGGCCAGATTATAATGACTATACATGGTCCCAAAAACATGAGCAGGGGGGAGAATCTTTTTCTACTCCACACTTCAAAGAAATTACACATGCTATCCGAAGTTTACTTAAAGAACAATATGTTTTGTCAAGTTTCATTACAGTAAAATACATCTTAAAACTAGTTACAATGTGTCAATGTACTTGGTTACAATCGTAGAACAAAGACTATGATAAACAACAACACAATACACATTACTTTCAACATAAAATTAGAGATTTTGATTTCCAGTTACATGTAAACCTCCATGCCTATGAATTTGGAGGATTGACATAGAGGACAAAAACTAAGCTTACTTTCACAATCTTTACAGAGGCAAAGATGCTTACACGGTAATAAAACCATGGTCACTTCGTTGACTCTGCAAGCCTTACATTTCATCGCTTCTTTCATATTGGAGTTTTCGTTCGAGAGGAGATGGAAATCAAGTGAACGTCCGTTACAGCAAGAAGCTGTATCGTCGACTTCGCTGTCGCCACATCCTTCTTTACTGTCTCTAGTTTGGAGATATGCTTGTTGAAGGTTGAACTTGAGAGCAGCAATCATGTTTTCGTTGTATTTGGCTCGCTGTTGCCAAACACCTGCTTCTGCACTCAACTGCTCCATTTGGTCTTCAAGCTCCATGTTTCGTTTGTTGATGTTTTCTACTTCGGTGTCTTTCTCACGAAGCTTCTGAATGACCTTGTCTTCGATGATTGAAACGCATTGTAGTTGTGTAGCTTGAACTTTCTCTAAAACCGTTTGTCGCAATTGCTCACCCTGTCAGAGAAAATTAATTAGTGTAGCCCTGTAACACCGACACTTCTAAAAAAATATGTGTTAGTGTCGGTGTCCAAATCTGACACCAACACTTGTGATTATGTTTAATTTATTCAATTTTCTTCAAATTAATACCAGTGACGAGATGTCGACGTGTCAGTGTCGTGTTTCTGATGTTCGTGCTTCATAGGTGTAGCATAGCATATTCATATAAGAGAGACTTTTGTCTTTTTTTTTCATAAATGTATCAAAGTCAGACATTTGAACTTCAAAGAAATAAAAGAAAGAGAAAATGGATGGTGCACTGACAGTGTAAATTATTTTTACACTGTCAACCAATGACAACCATGTAAAACGCCAAGTCACACTTTAAATTTTAAAATACTTTCATGATTTGGCACTTCAAAATATTTTGATTCGATGTCTGTAATATTTTTTTACACTAACGGTGCACTACCATTAAACTCTAAAAGAAATGACTAAGGGTCTGTTTGGATGAGATTATTTGAACTTATCTACTGCCATAAATTTTGACACTGTTTGAGAGATTTAATCCAATCAGCTTATGATATTTTATAAATTCTTTTGAACTTCTTTTTATAAATTCTTCAAAATAGCTGCTGAAAACAACTTATAACATATATAAAACAACTTAAGTTTATTGTCTTTTGTTATAAATATAGCTTATGTGAGCTTATTCATAAGTGCTTATTCTGAAAACAAATGTGCTATAAGTTGCAAATAAGCTGTCTATCCAAACAAACCCTAAAGAGAGAAACAACTTTTTGACACTGACAGATTTACTTACCGTCCAACACTAAGATATATCAAGTGCGCGTAACTAGTACGGTCCACTTACCGATCAAAATGACTTTGTATTTCAACGACAACAAATTGGGTTTAATTGATTATTGTTTACCTTGAACGAGTAACCAATAAGTTGCTAAAAACAAGACACCAAAACCCGAACTAACCTGCAGTTTGAGAAATCTATCCATCTCTAAATCCTGCTGCTGCAACTCACGGATCAATATCATCCCCAATAAGCGACAACAAAGCCGAGTCTCCAGTTGAAGCCAAACGAGTATTATCAAGCGACAATCCCAATCCCGTGGACACAGATCGAGGTTGTAGGAAATCCACAGAAGATATCTGAGAATTGTTCTCCAAAAAATCCTGTTCTTTTAGTCTCTTCCTCTCCGGTTCCAAACCAAAATTCCAATGCAAAATCAACACCACCATCACTTCCATCAGCCGGAAGAACAGGACCCGGAGCAAAGCCAACAACATGAACTAAACCCCATAAAACAAAAAAGTCACAACACATAAAAAATCTAAAAAACCCTAAAAATTTAAACTAAATCCAAAAGAACCCTAAAAATATCGCTGAAGAATAACACTGAATAAACTTCAAAGATTTAAACTTTCAAGCAATTGAATCATCCAGGAATAATTTTGACTCAAAATGACCAAAAGGGTATTCACCAAAATCCTTGCAAAGTTCAATTTTTTTTCAAAACCCCAAAATTCAAGGCACTAAATTGAAGTGAAGCTAAAAAGAAAAAGCATGGAAATTTAACAAATCGAAGAAAGATGAAGAAATTACAGACATGGAGGAATGTAAGGCGGATGCTGAGACTGATCTTGCAAATCAGTAGGGTTGTAAAACGCCATCTGCTGCGACATCTGACCATCCATCGTTCTTAAATTTCTGAAACAAAACATCAAAATCAGTAAGAAAACGATGAATTACAAGATGAAATTACAAAGATAGATTGAAATTGTTTGGTAAAGTGAAAGCTGGAAAGAATTGAAAATTATTTGGGAAATTATTGAGAGATGGGTGATTGGTAATTACCTGAAGGAATTGGTTTGTGGTTGGGGTTGGGGTTGGGTTTGGTAGTGGCGTTGAAACTGGTCTTGAAGGAAAGCCATGGAGGTAGAAGAAGAAGGAGGAGGAGAGAAGAGAAGTCTCTCGAGGAAATGGTTAATGTAAATGGCGAAGATGACTATGCACAAAGTTTGGTGTGATGATTTCCACACTTGCCCCTACATCCTTTTTTTTTATTTTATTTTATTTTATTTTATTTTTATATAGAAAATATCTCATTTGGATTGAGCCAACTTTGAAATTAGGACAATCTAGGCCCAAATATAATTTGTGTAGGCAATTTCAGATTGCACCCTTTATATTTTCCTAGACTCTGCGCGAAGTTCTTAAAATATCTTTTATTTTTAGAGATATATATTTAAATGTATTAATTTTTTATCTTTTTTTAAATAAAATTTAGAGATGCACAATCGAAGTCATTTTAAGGGCGTATTCGGAGATAAATCTTTGAATACACTTTTTTTTTAAATTTAAAAAACTAGTTCGGAGATGAATCTCCAAAGTAGATGAGCATATTAAAAGCTCGGGCCAAATTCTCCCTCTTCTCCTTGTTCATTTTTCAGAAACTTACTTTCTCTCTACCTCACTCTACCAATTTCAAGTTCCTACTCAAGGTCAAGATTTGAAGCAACATTTACTTGTTTCATACCATTTCTAACTTCTTCTAACTACTGCATTCAACATCAGAATACTTTACACACTCATCAACACATTTTTGAGTAAGTTTCTCATTTAGCTTATTTTGATTTTTGATTAATGTATTAGCTCAAATAGGTTAATTTTAATGCATTAGATAGCTCAAATATGTTAGCGTTCGTGTTTGGAAACTATGTTTATATGATTTGGATGAGTTTGTATGGCTAGGAAAGTTGTAGAGTATTTTTGCCATTGAAGCAGAACATAGATTTTTTTTGGATATGCATCTTCGAACTATTCTGTTTCAAGTTTTCGGAGATGCATATCCTAACTCTCCCCCCCCCCCCCCCTCATAATTTGTTATGTTTTTAAGGGCTGTGGCTGAAAACAAAGAAAGGCTAAGACTTGGGAAACCCACTCAAACAACCTCTGCTCATCAAGAGAGGGCTCATCGGCACGAGAAGCCTAGATTCGTCCCCCATCTCTCTCACTATAGGGAGGCGTCTATGAGTCGACTATCACCGGGGTCGAGATCCCAGAGTTGTGTGCACCATGATGACGAAGAAGTTAGTGGTGGTCTAATGGAACGATGTGGTGGTGACGAAGAATGACTTTGAATGATGGCCACGAGGTGTGAATGGTTTTTTTTGTCATTGGAATACATGGTATTGTAGGAAGAAGCCTTTGCTAATAGTTGTTAAGGGGTTTATACTTTATAAAAAAACATTATATTCAAATTAAACACACAAGATACAAAAGAGTATATATAAAACTTAAACTTTATGCAGGACAACAACAAAGCCTTTGACAGTGTGTTTATATATATATATAATATATATATATATTATACTATATATTATATATATATATATATATATATATATATATATATATATAGTATATATAGTATATATATATATAATATATATATATATAAATATATAATATTATATATATATATATATATATTATATATAATATATATATATATATATATATAATATATATATATATATATATATATTCGTATAAAGATTCAACGATATGTATTTGTATACACGTTTTTAACAAAGTAGCAAGGTAATATTAGCATGCGCTAATAACTTGGAATTTATGATTAGGCGGTTGAGGTGTTTTACAATTTATAACAAGTTATTGCTTACGAAAAATTATTTTGTTGGGATTCAGATCAAGACAAACTATTCATATTGGTTGTTTCTTATTTGTTTCCATTATTTTGTTGTTCATAATATCCTTATCTAAGGCTCTTTGCATTTCGTTTGAAACTTAGTATTTTTCTTATATGCAAAAATAGCTTACTAATAAGATCTTTTTAGCTTTAGCGGTAATGTATTAGGATGGTCAACTAGTGTTTACATGTTGAATGTAGTCAATATGATTAACAACCAATACATCTATTT